AGATAATACAAAATCAGTGAACATTTATTATGCAGATGACATACAGTATAAATTCACCTGGCTTTGTCACCAAGCAACTTCCAACCAGTGACTATATGTACCTAAACCTCCTTGAGGTAAATATAGACAAAACTAAAATTACAATGTTTGCTTACTCTCATCTGATCTTAAAGTCATAGCTGTATCTCTGTGAATGACTTTTGTATTTCTTGCTTGCTTAACAGTACACAAATACAAAACAGAGGCTCAAGAACAAGGATGGACCAGATGGACATAGAGACTGACAGAGAGGGTTATACCATGGTGCTTGTTGGAGACACATCATAGGCATTTTCAGCATTAAGTCTTAACACTGTAATGCAAAGGGTTGCCTATTTTTCCTATCCCTTCATTTCGTAGTGATCTTAGATAAATGAATAAAATTATTCATTTTTTCACATGTGCATGACTTAGAGCGCCAATTCATGTGAATGTACCTAAGTGAGAATCTGGCAACCCTGTTGGGAGGCACAGGGGAGAGATAATGGCTACTGTCTGTGCACACAGCATATGCTAGAACATAAGTGTCTCTGTCAGAGCCTCATGCAGCTTTTCTCTAGGCTGAAGGACATAGATGCTAAAGCAATGTTTGCCAAATCTGTTTCGAGGGAAAACAGTTTGAGGTTATTATGATGTTCTTTAGGGGGAAATGTAGTCATTAGAGAGAAGTGCAACTGTGGGTAAAGTTATTTTTTCACCAAATATGATTTTTGTTTGTTTGTTTTTTAGACTTGCTAAATGTTGGTAGGTTATTGTAGTTTATATAAATTAATTAAAATATATATATTTACATAAACTGCTCTAGTTTGGTTGATGCTGTCCTGGTGCTCTCGGTACCTGCAGTCTTATCACCAGCCTGCTGCTTCTCTCTCTGCATTCTCTAGGAGGAAAACTGAAATTATCACAGAGAAAACTCTGCACATCCTGAGCTCACCTAGAGCTGATATAAAATAAATAAAGGCATTTCACACCAACTGTGCAAAGTAAATGTGTTTGTTTATTCTGTCACATTTTAATGGTCTTTGTCCCTTGTGGGGGAGTCCTGCTGTGCAAACCTGTCTTTTGATTGAGGCGTATC